GTTTTGTTTTTTCCTTAACCTTTTTGTCTCCAGTGACAATGATTTATATTTCTTAATCCCTGCCTCCTCCTTTGATCTTAAAGCCAACTAGAAAGTGAGCAGCGGGATGGTATATATGTGGTGTGCACTCTTTTTTGAGAACTTTCAAAATAATAAGTTCTCTTTGAATTTGTTAGCAGATAAATTTTTTTTTTCTCTCCCAAAACTACGTACTTAAATGTTCTCACCTAGATTTTCCCTAATATTCATGTTGTATCTTACCAGGTAATTAGGTTATACTTACTGTTTTTAAACGCTGTTTATACTCTGTTTGTTTTCCAGATTGACAGTAATGGGTGGACAGTAATATTTAATGATGGCTTTTTTTTTTGTCAGGTAGAATTCTGCCACTTAAATGTACTAGGGATGAACAAACTTTTTTTTTTTTTTTTTTTTTTTTTGTGTGTGTGTGTGTGTGTGGGGTAAAAGCTAGGTAGTAAATATGATAGGTTTTACAGGCCTTGTGATCTCTGTTGCTGTTACTTTGCTGTGCCCTTGTAATGAGAGAGCAGATATAGGTTCATATATAAATGAATAGTTATGACTGTTTCCAATAAGCCATTTACTTATGGACACAAAAATTTGAATTTCATATAATCTCTATGTATCATGAATTTCTTATGTTCTTTTCATTTTCTTCCAATCATTTAAAAACATAAAGCCATTCTTAGCTTATGGGCCATCCAAAAACAGGTGGTAAGACTTGATATGCTGTGCAGGTTTCAGTTTGCTCACATGGAGTGTCCTGTAGATTACCTTTACCTATGAGTGAATACTTAAGTAATTTCCTTGTTTTTGACATTAAAACATAGCATTTTAGTGATCATTCTAATGAGTAATTTGATTATTGCTTTAAGATAGATTTATAGAGAAGAGATTACTTTCAGAGGTTAAACATTCGGTAAGGTTTTTTAAAAATATTGTTTAATTTCACAGGTTATATAATATTTCCACTAATAGTGTGTGTGTATAAACATTTCTCCATGCATTACAGTTTTCCTCTCTCTTCCCCCATTGGTAGATAGAAATTGTGATCTCATTTTTGAATTTTTCATTTCATTAATTCAAGTGAGTTTCAGCATTTTTTTACCATACTGTTTTGGCCACTTGCATAACTTGTAATATGTCCTTTTTCTCTTATTTTGTTGGAGTATTCATTTTTTCATATTGATTTGTAGCATCCCTTACATATTAAATTTATTAACTCATTGTCATATGTTTTTTTTCCTAGTTTCTCATTTATCTTTTAATATGAGTTTTGATGTTTAGGCAGATTTTACATTTTTTGTAGTCCTAGCTATTAATTTCTGCCTACCCTCTTTTTAAAAAGAACTTTGTGTGTTTTTTAAAATTATATTCATAAAGATCATTACCATGATCTAATTCTAGAATGCTTCTCTTTTTGTGAGTTTTGTGTTTTCAACTTATGTATAATTGTTTTTTTCTCCTAGAAACAGAATTTTCTGTGGAGGATTCTTGAGAATTAAGGACCTTGTGACCTACTTTAGGTTTCAGAGAATTAAACAGATGCTTGAGATTGCTAAAAATAACATGGATGTTTGAATATTTTCTTAATATTTCA